AAATCGGAAAGTTAAACATGAAGTTAACTAACGCCGAACATGCTGTGAATTTCTTCAATAATCGCATATATACAAATATATAACCCTGTCAAAAAGCTAAGGCTGAATTGATACGTGGTGCGTGTGGCCAAATGCTCATGTATATAAATACACAACGTATCAATTCGAACACTGAAGATGATATAGGAATACCGAAAAAAAGCTTTTCTGTTCTATCATGTTTAAAATAAATAAAAAAATTGGTTTTGAACTCAAGACTACTTTCTGCTAAGGTTGAACTGAACTGTTTGCATTGTAATAATGATGCCATTATATAGTATGTACTGTTCCATCTGGCTGGGCAATCTAATATTGGCCTTTTGATTTTCAACTCTTTAAATTTTGAACTTGTGTTTTCTAGTGTTTCTATACGATTATATGGGTGATTGGAGGCAATAGCTGTTTTTTCATCATACTTTAACTTTTTTCTTTGCTGAACACTTTCAAACTCCTCATTATGGTTACGTTTCAAATGACGTTCCAAGTTGGCAGCATGATCTCTTTTTATAACAGCTTTACAAATATTACAAGTACTTTTATTGTCCGTTTTATTATATTTAAAAAATTCTCGGCTGGCGTTTTCTCGGTTTCGTCCCATTCTAAATTTAAAAGATTGTCACTAATTAAAGTTGTTTATTGTTGTTATTAAGATTAAAGTTTACGATTTTAAACAGAAGAAATTAAAATTGCAAAAAAAACGGCGTAGCATTGACAAAGTAAACCGATAGGAGCGCGAATTTCCAACTTTACCGCAAAGTTTAATGTTTAATTTATTAAACTTGTAAAAAGTAAACAAAACGAAAAATTTAATTAATCTGTAAAAATTAAAATTATTCACAAACTTTTTTGCAAATTGTAATTTGCAAAGATTTTGAAGATGATCGTACTTGATCTCTAATTTCTCCAATTATATTGGATTCCTCTTCACGTGGCAATTCCATGGATAAAATATATCTAACCATGGGCAATTCTTACTCAAATGATCGGCGAACTCAGTTCGAAAAGCAAACGAAAAGAAAGATAACAAATTTTCAAAGATAATAAAAATTAACGTTGAATTTTAAAAGACGAAATATTATCTAAATATTTTTTCTGAATTTGACAAAAATATTTTTTTTTTAAATTCTAGCATCAAACCGTTATTTATTTCATTTCGGTTTTGGTTAAGCTAGCAAATAATATTTCGCTTTGGTTACGGTTTTTGTTCGGAGCTTAATTTCGGTTTTTAACGGTTTTCGGTTATGGTTCAGTTCCGGTTCGGTGCCCTGATTAGTATTTGATGAAATAGTTTTTAGCTGAAACTGCCTTTTGAGTCAAATAATTCGACATACTTTTTACGTTTAGTTTCTTATAGGAGCAGACAAAATATTGATACCTCCACAACAGCTCATACAGGTTCGCACATTTTCGACAGACCAGAAACCATTGATATATTTGTGATTATACTTTACTACACTTGACTAATATTATTTTCTGTAAAAGTTCACAGAATATATTTTGATTAGTGGAATAAAAAGATATATTCATATGTTTATTTCATATTTATTTTATTAATTGTAAATAGTTGACACTCGCTACGAAACACACACACACACACACACACACACACACACACACACACACACACACACACACACACACACACACACACACACACGACCCTCGTACATAAACTATTATAAAATCTCAACATGCACAAAAGTGGTATCGATGTATGGCGTGTGAATCATGCTGTGTGTATATATATATATATATATATATATATATATATATATATATATATATATATAAACTAGAGAGAGAAAAAGAGAAAAAGAGAGAAACTGAGAAGAGAAAAAGATTGATTCAAAAATAACAATGCATATATTTTTTAAGTTTCATTTGCAAGTTAACGAACTTTCAAACATTTGTTTGCTTTGTTATATCCTGATACACCATCAATGTTTAGTTCAGTTTTTGAACAGTTTTATTAGGGATTAATTAATTAAATTAAGTTTACGAGAACCTGCCTGCCTTTATTGTATATTTGCGGCTATTCACAGTTTATGTATTATAAGTAAATTTGAATTTTAATTAAAAAAAATATTGTGTAAAAAGTTAAAAAATATATATATACGATATTTCGTAAGGCATTCCACTTTTAAAGATTTTTAAAGTGTTGCCCTGATTTGTCGGATCGTGATGTCAAAAAAGTGTAAAAACGTGAGTTAGTTTAATAATCTTCATTTTATTATAGTTATAAATACAAATTTCAATATTAATAAACGGTTGTGAATTTGGATCTACACGTAAATGAATTTTGATGTAAATAAATGAGTGAATAAATAGGAATATTTATTTTTATATAAATAGATAAATTAATTAATAAATGAATAAACACACACACACAAACACATACCCACCCATATATATATATATATATATATATATATATATATATATATATATATATATATATATATATATATATATATTCATTTGTTACGGCTGGTAAAAATATTTTTTTTCGTTTATTTAGAACATTTAATTTAGTTGACTTTAGAAACATTTGCTTTAAAGAGTATTATTTTGTTTGCTTTAAAGAATATTATTTTGTTTCTTTTATTTTTGGTTCATTAATAGAATTATTTCAGTTAGGCTTGGGTTGTCACTTTTAAAAACTAAAACATGTTTGAAGAAGACTTGCTAGCTGTTAATAGGGCCGGATTAACCGACCAGCAAGCAGGGCGCAATAATACTTCTGCCCGGTCCGTATTTTCCGACCCGGAAATAAAAAGTTGTGAAGAGGTGAGTCCCGGCCAGAAGCAAGACTGCCTAGGCTGGCGGTGGCGGCTGTTGATATTCGAGCGAAGGAAAAATTTCGCCGCGCTGCAAAAGTTCACAAAGATATAAATTAACACACCACTATTCCCGATGTATTTACGTGTAATGTTATGTGCATAAACATTCGCCCACAAGTGTAAATGTTAAAATTAAACAACCTAAATATAAACAATAAATAAACTATAACAGAAAAATATAAACCATCAAATTAACAAGATAAACATAAACAACAAACAAAATAAACATAAACAATCAATACACAACGTAAATTATAGTGTTACGTTATTAATAGAAAAAGCAAATAGAGGAAGAAATTGGAAACATCAGAAACAGATTCTTCCAATCTGCAGTAACACACAAATACAATCGCATACAAACAGGAAAAACAACATTTACTTATCTCTTTAACAATCTACAATCCTCAACAAACTACATACCAAAAGTTACAGCATAAATTTGCCAATTATAAACACGTATAACTCTATCAACAAGTACAAACACGATGTTGAAAAACATCACTATACGAAAATCGACAACATACAAACGTCAGCAACATCTACAACACGCAATAACCAATCTTCAAACACCAAAATACAAACAAATTTAACATAAAAACACTAACATACTAATATTAATATACAAAAATCTACAACATACAAACAACAACAACATACCAACACTAACAACAAACAAACACCAACAACTTACAGACATTTACAACATACAAACACCAACAACATACCAACACCAACAACATACAAACACCAACAAAATACAAACATCTACAACATACAATACAACAGCAACATACAAACAACGGCGACAACAACAGCATACAAACACTGATAACTTTTATTTGCAATAAGGCATCGTACAGGAAGATCATTGCGGATTTTTATTGTCAGTTTGGGTATCCCTCCACACATCGTCAGCCAAATTATCAAAATCATTATCCCATCTCACATTCAATCTTCTACTTTTTTTATATAAAACGGAAAAATAATAATAATAATAATCATTATCCTCCTCATCATCATTCTTAAAACAATCGTCATTACCATCATCATATTCATCATCCTTCTCATCATTACGATCATCATAATTTTCGGCACTATCGTTGTTAAATTTTGTCAGCAGTGTTTTCCCTCAAGAGTTGTATGTAATTTTTAGTAAATTTTTTATCATGTATACATCAATTCCTTGTTGTTTTTTACAAAATTTAACAAAAAAAGCAAATATAAAGTCCGATGGTTTGTTGTTGTTCAGAAACTGGCAAACAAATTTTAAAAAACTAAAAATCCAGGAAGAAAATTTTCGTTTGATTGAATAGAATAAGACGTTTCAGGATGAAACTTAATGAACTTCATGGGAAGGGCGAAATGCGAGGATTGAAAACTGGGCAAAACAAATTGCTTTTTTTGCACCAACATTTGTTATTCAGGTTCATGTGGGCTTGCTGGCTGCATTGATTAGATGGATGATTGTCTGTGGATAAAAAATTTTCGACTTCAAAGCTGATTGATGGATGTTTTGAAGGACATTTTGGTAATGAGAGTTACAACCAATATACACATCCAGCTATACATCTAGCCATACATACAAACCCTACGTACATACATACTTAATACATATTCACATGTCGTACACTTACATTTGCATTAAACTTTAATATATTTCAAAATGTTGTTTGTTTTTATTTTTTTTTTAAATCACTTCAAAAAATATATATCGTCTTTCAAAAATTCTGCATCAACCAACGCGTGTCATCATCGTCATCATCATCATTATCATCGTTTTCATCATCATCACCATCATCGTTGTCGTCTTCATCGACATCATCATCATCATCAGTGTGTTTGTCCGTGACATGGTATCATCATCATATTGCATGTTTGTTGTATTGTACGTATATGCATTGTATGTTTGTTTTATGCATATGTATTGAACGTCTATTGTATTGTTCGCTTATGTATTGTATGTTTATTGTATTGTATGTATATGTGTGTTTATTGTATTGTATGTATATGTATTGTATGTCTATTGTACTGTATGTATGTGTATTGCATGTTTATTTGTTATATGTTGTACTTTAGTGCCTACAACCATTCATTGAATGTGGTCCGCCATCGACACATTTTTTTTTCATCTGCAAAAATGCAAAGTTCGAATTTTTAATGCAGCAATTGTTGAACAGGTGTGAAATGGTTTTTAAAACTGATAAAAAGAATACTATTCATAAATAGAAGTAAGGCAATGTAGACTCGGTTACAAGTTATCCTCGATTGAACTAAAAAAAATAAGCATAGAAATTTGAGCAAGAAAATGTTGGCTAATAAATATTAACGAAATACTGTCCAACTGACGACATATTTTTTTTTAATCCACGCTTATCCAAGTCAAAATTAACAAATAAATAATTTTTTTATATAAAGTGAAAATTAATAATTTTCATTATTCGGTGAACAATTGAAGTTCCTCAAATGTGTTAAATTGTTGTGTTAATCAAAAAATTGTCCTACATGCTTGCAACAAATAAGAACTAACAATACGAAATTTAAAGGTTTTGTGGGAATAATTTACTAAATAATTACTTATTTATACGTAATATCCAAACTCTTTAAAAATATTTTGAATAACAAATTCATTGAAAAGTATCGAAATCTTTCATTAAGTTCATTATCAATCAATTGATACAACAATCTCAGTTAGTAGTACAATAATGATGAAATAGAAAATTCTTTTCACACGTAGTGTTGTTGAAAAGTCAATAGCAAGTTGATAAAGAAATCATGTTGAGAATCGCCTGTCTGCAACAACATCAACATGGAAATAAAACTTCAACAATCTGATGGTTCATCCTTTGTTTGTTGATAGGTAGGATGCATTGAGATTGATTGATTGGTTGATAGATTGGCGGACAGATGAGACAAATGGTTTAAATGTAAGCTGGTGCATGAACACACACACAAACATACACACACATACCACACACACACACACTCGCGCGTGCGCACAAAAACTAAAAATATACAAACACGCACACACATAAACACAAAAAACACACTCACTTATGAACACACAAACAAACATACACGAGTACATGGCATGTGTTCGTTTATGTTGTGTCTCGTTTTATTGATTTGATCTGTTAGAAAAACTTAACTCTGTTAAGAGTGTTTCTATCAATAATAATGTTTCTGCTGGATTTTTCGATTTTTCTACTATTTTTTTTATAACACTTATTGATAAGTTTGTTCTCAGAAATCAGCTGCGAGTTCGTTCATTAGGCCAGAAAAGTCCTTCAGTCAAACAAGCAGATTTTTTTGTTTTTCATTTGATTTATAAAAGGAACAGTCGCCGTTTCAAATTGTCTAAGTAGGGATTTTGGTTTTTATTGTAAACATCCAGTGACCATTAGAAAGTTTATGTTCAGCATGTCTAGGCTTAATGATGCATACATGATGTTAATTTAATTGTTAGAGAACGTTTAATTTTTACTGTGCAAACACAATAAAGAAATACAAGGTGTGAGATAAAACCAACAAAAACACAACAACAACAACAATATCAGCAACGACAACAACAGCAACAAAGATAACAACAACAGGAGCAGCATCAACAATAACGGCAATTCTTACCAGCTGATTTTAATACCAGTAAAGCATCGAAACTACGGCAACTACTGCTACCATTGTATCCATTAGTCCGCCTAGCAACTGCCTCGCAACCGTATAACAGCAACTCTTCATGTTCGATACTACTCGCTGACTCAATCAACTTGCAATGGAGGTTGAGATCATAATCACGTGATGCGATCATGCTTTGACGATCAACGTCATCTGACTTTCGCTATTTACAATTGCATTCCATTGAATAGAACATTCATGTAGTGCGTCGAGGCGTTGAAAATTTTGTGATTTATGTGATAAATTTAATAATTTATTAATAAATTTTATTAATAAAACTTAATAATATTGGATGTAATTTATCCAGTACTATATGAAATATACCGAATTTCTAGCGTTGGAGAAGACCATAATTAATATGGTAATTCATGAAATCTACCGGATCTACTAACGCTAGAAATTCTGTAGATTTCATAAATTACTGCATTAATTATGGCCATTTACCAGCACATTTGTATACATTGTAAACTATAAAAGATTGTAAAGAAATATTGTATCTATGCTAAAAACTTAGCTACATATAGGTCCTGCGTAGTCAGGGTTTAGTTAGGTCTGATGCGAAGTCGTAAATGTGTGATTGATGTAGTTATTTGGATTAGTTTATTGTTTCTATTACTGTTGGTATTCAAATAAACGTTCAACAAAGTTTGCGTCTGAAGCAGTTGTGTTCATTTATCGGAAATCTTGAACCTACAGAATAACGATCGTTGGAAGCTACAACACTGGTGTTAAAAATATAGAATCATTGAAGTTATAACATTAGTGTCTGTAGTGGCGAGCGTAAAACTGTAACAACAGACGCCATCTTTGTATCATATCATCTTTGTATCATATTATTTTCGTATCATATTATTTTTCTATCATATCATTTTTCTATCATATCATCATTATATCTTATTCATGCTTGGAGGAGTGTTTGAAAGTTTATCGTTCAATTTAATTCATCTATTCAAATGATTCCAACGAATCTGCTGCTGTTGTCAACGTCAAAACTGTTGTTGTTATGGTTATGGTAATTAATGTTTTGTTTTAGCTGGTGGGCTGGTTGGGGATATTTGAATGGCAGTTACATTTTACATTAAGGTTATAAAGACTGTTCTTACTGAACCATTGTTATTAAAGCCATTTTAAATATTAATATTGTTTGTACTGTTGTTTATTAATCTTTCTATCATCGGTTGAGAGAGGTCCACATTAAAATTTGTAAATTTAACTTTTCACAAACATTTGAAGCGATCGACAGTTTTAAAACCAAAATTTTTACAAAAAATTTACAGTATTGGTAACACTATCAACATTTTATTACTTATTTAAGGTATAAAATTACGTCAGCATTTTCGTAACCGTCTGAGTTTTTTCAGGCAAAATCAGCCGGAAAATTGCTGCACATAAAGTAGATAAACTAACGGCATTTCAACCATTTCGAGGCATTTTAAGACTTTTACATCTATTAAGCTCTTAAAAAGTTTTTCTACTATTTGCCCATTTTATTCTTTTGAAAAAATAGTTTCCAAGTTTAATGTTTTTTTAAATTTGGAAAGATTAACTTTAACTAAGAGCAAAGGCAATGATGATCTGAAAAATATTATCATGGTGACTAACGGAATGTTGATTGATAGTTGTGTTGCCGTTTTTGATATAAATTTATTTGGGATGGATGACTAAATTAACCCTTACACTTGAATGTTTGTTTATAAAAATGGCAAGTTATTAAAACACAACTTTAGGATTTCATGAGAACAAATACTTTTTTGAGCAAAAAAAATAAATTTTTTGGAGAAAAAAAAACTTGTGAAGAAAATAAATCTCGACATTTTACTTTTTGACTCTTGCTGGAAAGAGATATGCGGTTGTAGTTCTGCAACCATTTTTTAAAAAACACAAAAAATAAATAACTGGGTGTTGTGTCTCAACCCAACCACTAAATAAGTATGTGTCAAAAAGGTAGAGCGTAAAGCAAAACTAAAACAATGGCACAAACATCTTGCAACAGCAGTCAACATGTCTAGCAAAATAAACAAGCAATATAAATAAAAAAAAAACACCAATGAAACAACGGCAACAACATGATTGGAGAAGACGGAAAAACAATGGCCCTCATTCAACTACATACTACAACAAACAATAAACAACAACAAAATGAAAGACAAGAAATGCTACTTAAAACAATTCAATGGATTGTCATAAAATAAGAAACGTCTGTGAATGCGACCGACAACTACGACACTGCAACGAAAGAAAAAATTTATGAATGTGCATAAAAATTACAAAACAAGAAATAAAAAATAATAATTACAAGTATAATAAAATGTAGCAACTCATCATAAAAATAAACGAATCTCAAAAGCGCTATCTAACAAAAACTGAACTTAACAACATAATTGAAATAACAAACGAGAAATCATAATACATCGCACAGAAATAAGATTAAAATTTGGTCATAAACAGAAAAGTAATCGATTCAATATAACGAAAATACGAAATAATATTTAGAACATGTCGACTAAACAGAAAGAATCGATCAATAATGCATTGCAATGAAAATAAATGAGTTTTCAGTTTCTTCTTGAAATCACGCAGGTTTAGGTCCGGATTTCTGAGAGCAGCAGGCAGGTCGTTCCAAACAGTTGGTCCAGAAACAGCAATGTTACAAGAGCCTATACGGAGACTCGTTGTTGGGATCAACAGCAGGTTTGAAACATCGGATCTCAAGTGTGTTCCAGATGCTTTTGAAGATCTCTTTTTGAACCTGTCAGACAAATAAGATGGAGCTAGACCGTTGATAGACTTGTAGACAAGTGTTGAAATTTTGAACAAAACTCTTTTGTCGACGGTTAGCCAATGAAGTTCCCTCAATATTGGAGACACATGATCGAATTTTAGAGCTCCAACAACAACTTTTGCGGCTCGATTCTGTATTGATTGAAGTACAGCCATGGATCGATCAGGTAAGTCATAAAACAAACTGTTGCAATAGTCGACGCGTGAGTGCACAAATGCATGAACCAACGTCTGCAACGTGGATGTATCTAGGGATCGTCGAATTTAATTGATTTTCCTGATTTGAAACATGCATTCGGCTGAGAGCTTCTTAATGTGTTGTTTCATTGACAAACCTGAATCAATCATGAAGCCCAGATTAGCTGCTGTCTGACAAAATGGGATGACCTCATCATTAACAGTTATTGAATTTATATCTATTCTTGAAAGTTGCTGCCATGTTCCAATTGGTAAAAAAACAGTCTTGTTTTGGTTTAGTTATCAACCATTGTTTTGCATCCACTTATTGACCCAGACAAACATTTAACCAGTTTGTCCAATTCTGATTTAAAAGAATCTGGCCTGCTCGTAACAAGTCGTCCGCAAAATCATGACCTGAAAAACCAAATGATTCTATTATCTTTAGTACTTCAGATGTATAGATCAGGAATAGAATAGGATCTAGAACCGAATCTTGTTGCTCACCAGACAGCATAACATTAACCTCAGAAAATTTACCACCGAATGATACCTGTTGTGATCTACCTACCAGATACGACTCAAACCACCTCAGAACAGCACCAGAGATTCCAAAACTGCAACGTAGTCTTGTTAAAAGTACTTTGTGATCTACGCAATCAAATGCGGATGACATATCAAGAAAGACTAGCATTGCCACATTTTGTTCATCAATTGCCCCGTACACTTCTGAGAAAACTTGCAAAAGAGCAGTTTCTGTCGAATGGTACCGACGGAATCCAGATTGATATTTCGGCATTAAATTGTTATTGTTCAAGTAACTGAGTGTTTGCCTGGCAACCACACGTTCGATAATTTTGGATAGGAAAGACAGATTAGAAATTGGTCTGTAGTCCCCAACATCATTTTCGTCTAGATTATGTTTCTTCAGCAGCGGAGTTATGACAGCATGCTTGCAGCCAGAAGGAAACTGTCCCACATTTAAACTGCTGTTTATCAGGCCTGCCAAAAATGGTGCGAATAGTTTTATAAACTTCTTTAATACGTGGGTAGGTATTACATCTTGTTGACACGACTTTGTAGGTGAATTTTGAACTAACTGTATTACCTCCTCTTCAGAAACCATAGAAAACGTTGAGAACAAACTATTATTGACACCTGATTGGAACTCTGCAGGCTCGGTTGAGCATCGTTGTTGCCACTATCTCTCAGCTTGCTTAAAATTGAAATAGCACATAAATCGATCAGGTGTTAGTTCATCTATATCCGAGCAAGATATATCGTTACGATCCCTACAGAGAATGCTCTTCACAACCCGCCAAAGATTTTTTGGTTTCATCTTATAGTCATCAACAATTTTTGTCCAATACTGACGACGTTATTTAGAAAAAAGTTCCGATTTATTCTTCAAAGCAGTCTTCCATTCATCTTGATGAATCAACTGTGAGCTTTTTCTGTATTTTCTTTCCATTTTTCTGCATAAACGCTTGGCCAACCTGCAATCATTATAAAACCACGGAGCCATACGAACGTTATTATGTATGTATGTATGTATGTATATATGTATGTATGTATGTATGTATGTATGTATGTATGTATGTATGTATGTATGTATGTATGTATGTATGTATGTATGTATGTATGTCTGTATGTATGTATGTATGTATGTATGTATGTATGTATGTATGTATGTATGTATGTATGTATGTATGTATGTATGTATGTATGTATGTATGTATGTATGTATGTATGTATGTATGTATGAATGTATGTATGTATGTATGTATGTATGTATGTT